CGCTTTGGTTTCCGAATGTTTTGGAAGTCGAATGAACTTCCAGAACGGATTCTGTTTTGACTTCCAAGGTACGACTGTAAAAGCAGTTGTGAAGAATGATGGACTTCCAGGGCAAATGATGTATTTTGCTGGCACTGAATGGGCATCAGAGTTGGCACTAGGCAAGCTTCTTCAGGGGAGCAGTTCCAAATATGAGGTGCCAAAACAAAACAAATAAATCCCTCTCCCTGGTCACAGCCCTCCAATAGAGCAGCCTTTGTGGAATAAATGCACTACAATAAAAAAGAAAGAATACACATTAATTTTCTGTTCCTGGAGGAGGCTGGTGGAACTGGGGGGAACTTAATGTTCTGATCATGTTTTGTTGAAAATCAATAAGAATCAGGGAGAGGAGAGAGAGAGAGGGAGAGAGAGAGAGAGAGAGAGAGAGAGAGAGAGAGTGTTTTGGAGGACTCACATGAAAGGTGACCCTCAAGTAACAAGGGTTTTGTAGGTAGACAACTAGAACTTTCAGCCCTGGGATTTGGACCAAGGCTGGGTCTTCTGTTCTATGCCGCCCACCCGCTGTGGTAAACCTGGCACGGCCAAGGACAGAGAAGCTGGCGGGCGGGCAGCGGGTCTGGGCCGTGCCATGGGCTTGGCACGCCTGCTGGCCCCGCACCTGGTACCTGGCTCCGCGCTGCTGCTGGTGGCGTGCTCAGTGGCCATGCTGAAGCAGCTGGAGGGTGAGCTGCACGCCACCTGCCCATCACTCTGCGTGTGCGGCCTGCCCACCTACCTGGTGTCGGACGACGGCTGCAGCGTGTGGTGCACGCCACCTGGAAGCTCCACGGGGACGGGCTGATGGAGCAGCTGCTGCTCGTCAACAATGCCGGTGAGTGGGCGCTGCCGAGATGCGCTCCTGAGCGCGTGCAGATTGCATTCCTCCTCCAGGTCCGGAGGCAGCTGCGCGACTGGCTTGCAGGGTATTTATATTTTTCAAAATATAGTCCGGCCTCCCACAAGGTCTGAGGGACGGTGGACCGGCTCCCTGATGCAAAGGTTTGCTGACCCCTGGTTTAATGGATCGCTTTGCTCCTTGGCAATCTTAGCTTATGGGGGAAGAGATAAAGATCTGTCCCAACCCTAGCTTGGGAGCTCTCCAGGGTGCTGACTTGCATTGCCCTCACCTGGACTTGAAAGAAGCTCTGGTATACAAATGGCAGGCAGGTAGGAGAGAAGAAGAATACAATGCTTGCGTATCCTGAAGTATTGGACTTGCGAAGGAAGCGTTTTGCCATGTCTCCTGCCTCTGGGTCCTGAAGAGGGCGCTGTTCCATATGATACGCCAGTCACTTCACTCAGGGTGGGGGAGCCCAAGATTGTGGCTCTTCACTCCTCCTTGGAATGTGAGGCCTCTCCTGCTTCACCCTCACCATGCAAGATCACACGTCTGCAGAATAGGCAACAGGCCTTCTTGGCACTGCAAATAGCTCTCATGAGTTGTGGAGTGGGATAGTGCCAGCCTTTTTAAGAGCAGATTGCTCCAAGTCGGGGATGGGAAACCTCTGGCCTGCAGGGCACTCTTGAGCCATAAGCCATTTCCCCCCAAACCACCCAACCCATCCATCAGCTGATGTCACTCAGTAATGTCAGCTGATGGGTCGGGGCAGGGAATACGCTGGCAAAGCAGCACCCAGCAGGATGGCATTCTGCACATCCCTGTCCATCAGTCCCATCCCCACCAGCAGGGAATGCCCTGGTTAAGCAGACCCCTGCTAGGAGCAGAATAGAGCCCTCTGTTCATCAGTTGGGAAGCAGAGTGTTCAATCCTGCTGGGTGCTGCTTCAGCAGTGCACTTCCTGTGGGGAACGCACCAATGAAGCAAATGCCTTCCTCCACCACAACCACTTTGTGGGTCAACTCTGATAGGTCAGCAGGGCAGCCTACCTGCCATCATATGGCTGACAAGTGGGTTGTCCCACCTTCTGTCAATCTGTCCCAACCCTAGCTTTAAGCCTTTGCTGAGTCAACCTCTTTCCAAGTGAGCAGAGCCCGCTGGGAGCTGTCCAGGGTTCTGACTTGCATTGCCCTCACCTGGACTTGAAAGAAGCTCTGGTATTCATTGATTATAGTTGGGTACTGATCTATTGCCTATTGTTTACCAAAACCAGATTAAATGTATTTCCATCTGAAGTTCTCAACAGCAAACTGATCAGCATACCTTATCAGAATAGACTTTGCTAAGTTCTCAGGCTGTTGATTGTATGAAGCGTATCCTACTACACTGTGGGCCAGAGATCAATTAGTTGAACCCTTAATGGCAAATTTACCTGGAAATTCTGAAACCCTCTATCTCAAGTATCTTCTCGAAGATCAGACAAATGATATTAACCTAGCTGTGGCAAAAAATTATCTTGGAGGTAATAAGAATTAGGAATCAACATGCTCCTGGTAAAAATATAATGACTGTCTTGGAATTTTCTCTTGTATTCCTGCTGTATTTTGCTTCGAAACTGCTTTTGTGGGTCTTTGGACCGAATTAAGAACGTGTGTGTGGTATTCATCACTTTCAGCGTAGGCCTCAGACTCCAACAGAACTGCACAGGATTTCCCCCTGATTTCCAACCAACCTTTTATGGGCTGTCAAACTAAGATAATTTGGGACAGGAGATACCCTACAGCTTCATGGCCTCACTAACTCTTAATGCTTGCTAGCTGGTGATGGGGATTGCTAGTGACACTGTCAAAGCCTCCATTCGCACATCCTATAGGGCAACCTCCTGCAACCCAGTGCTTCTGCCATCCAGTTGCTTCCGCCATCAGCCTCCGCCAGACGGGCTGGAGGGCATCAGGTTGGGGAAAGGCTGTTTTACAGTGAGTGGACAGCGAAGCGCAAATAACTATATAACTAGGGCTCCATTGCCTTGAGCCAGGCTAGCCATCCGTAGATGCTGGAGGCATTTAAGATGAGTTTGGATGGTCACCATCTGTCAGGTGACCATGAATTTTAACAGGGAGAAATGTAAAGTATTGCACTTGGGCAAAAAAAATGAGAGGCACAAATACAAGATGGGTGACACCTGGCTTGAGAGCAGTACATGTGAAAAGGATCTAGGAGTCTTGGTTGACCACAAACTTGACATGAGCCAACAGTGTGACGCGGCAGCTAAAAAAGCCAATGCAATTCTGGGCTGCATCAATAGGAATATAGCATCTAGATCAAGGGAAGTAATAGTGCCACTGTATTCTGCTCTGGTCAGACCTCACCTAGAGTACTGTGTCCAGTTCTGGGCACCACAGTTCAAGAAGGACACTGACAAACTGGAACGTGTCCAGAGGAGGGCAACCAAAATGGTCAAAGGCCTGGAAATGATGCCTTATGAGGAACGGCTAAGGGAGCTGGGCATGTTTAGCCTGGAGAAGAGGAGGTTAAGGGGTGATATGATAGCCATGTTCAAATATATAAAAGGATGTCACATAGAGGAGGGAGAAAGGTTGTTTTCTGCTGCTCCAGAGAAGCGGACACGGAGCAATGGATCCAAACTACAAGAAAGAAGATTCCACCTAAACATTAGGAAGAACTTCCTGACAGTAAGAGCTGTTCGACAGTGGAATTTGCTGCCAAGGAGTGTGGTGGAGTCTCCTTCTTTGGAGGTCTTTAAGCAGAGGCTTGACAACCATATGTCAGGAGTGCTCTGATGGTGTTTCCTGCTTGGCAGGGGGTTGGACTCGATGGCCCTTGTGGTCTCTTCCAACTCTATGATTCTATGATTCTATGTACTCTCTAACTACAGATTCCCACATTCAGCTGAAATAGATGACTCTTGATATTTCATTCAGCTATGAAATAAAATTGTTTCTATAGCTCTCATTTCAGCAGCAGCTGCATGTGAACTGATGAGCACTGAAAGGGCAAGGAGCATTCAGCCTTTTTAACTACCAGAATGCACTGGGCTTACTACTGGCATGAGCCAACTAGTGGAACAAGCAATTTAACTGCAGGAATGCATTGCGGTTTGGTTAAAAGAATTTGATAAAGTTGTAACCCTGAATATCCATCTAGCTGATGTGTCTTATGTTTTCATTCCTTGGTGTGGAATAAATATATCTGGTGCATCTTCAACAACAACCTTCACAAAAGAAAAAGAAAACCAGGAGTTAAACTTACTCTTTTCCATTTTTGCTCTTTAGCGCATGGACTGTTGTGAAATCAGAAGTTGCTAAAAGATTTATCAAGTGAGCCAACTGCGTTAGTTAGAGAGCTCACCAAATGCTTTTGCTCTGTAGGTGTTGCTCTTCTTTATTTCATATCCAGTTGCCCCTTGCCATCTTTTATTTACATTTCGAATGCTCGAAAAGCATCTGCCAGCTTGCAATAAAGATAGCAAACCGATATGCCAGAACAGTTATAGCTCCGTTCGCCAGAAGAGCCTAGGCTGTCAAGCGCTGCTTGCTTCAAAGTCTCTAGCCCTGGCTGTGTGAATGAAGTCCATTTCCAAGGACATGAAAAAGGAGACTTAATCTGATGTGAAGAATGTTGTGATGTCCTCCTCCAAATGGAAAGCCACACAATACCTTAATCTGAGAGCTTTTCTTCCCTTTAAAAAACAAAAATGCATTAAAACTACCACAAAACATCTTTAGAGACTTCACAATTTACATTCATGATCTTGCCAGGAATTCTATCAGATGACATAGGCTGAAATCCTTTGCACCCTTACCTGGAAATAAGTCCCACAGGAGATCGGATAATGGCATCCCCTACCCCAACACACAGCTAGCACCAACACTTTATAAAAGTCTTGTTGCACCATTTGGATAGAATTCCCATCTCCATCTTCAGCCACCCTCTTCCCATGATGCTGCTGCCATGCTCTAGTGGGCTTACCTGACAGCAGTGAGATCCACCTGCCCAGTGCCGGGGGGGGGGATATGAAAGGGGAGCCCCAAGGATACCAGTTAGAATCATACTAGAATCACAGAACCGCAGAGTTGGAAGGGACCCTGAGGATCATCTAGTCCAAACTCCCTGCAAGACAGAAATATGCAGCTGTCCCATACAGGTATCAAACCCGAAACCTTGGCATTATCAGCACTGAGCTATCCAGGCAAACCACTTATACCTACATTGACTAATATAGTTACAATTGACCCCTGTGAAAGAAAGGAGAGAAAATCCCCAGGACTTTCACTAAACTTTCATTCCTAGCAGCCTCAGGTCCAGGATTTGGGGGTTCGGGGCTTAGGCAGAGCAACCCCATAGACCCTAGAAGCATAGAAAGCCACCATCTTCTGAGTTGGCACTTTGGGTGCATCCCATTCAGTGTTGCCTACATTGACACCAAGGAAGTTTTCCTTGGCAAACCCAAATGTGTGGTATGGTTGGTACATACTTCCACGTGTGACGGGGTTGCATTCGGATACAAGTGTTTTGGAAGCCGCTATGCCAGCAGAGCACCAGGGATGCGGGTGGCACTGTGGGTTAAACCACAGAGCATAGGACTTGCCGATCAGAAGGCTTAGTCATGCTGGCCACATGACCCGAAAGCTGTACGCCGGCTCTCTCGGCCAGTAAAGCGAGATTAGCGTCACAACCCCAGTCATCCGCGACTGGACCTAATGGTCAGGGGTCTCTTTACCTTTACCTTTATGCCATCAGAGCAGTGTGATTACTGGTCAATGGATATATCCAATACTGGTGTTGTTAAATATGTTTCTAGGGGAGTTTACATCTTATTCATAAGATGTAAGTTGAGTCATTTACTTTTGCCTGCATGAGCAGCTGTAGTTCAGAACTGG